GGAGCAGGATGCGGGTGACGGCGGCGGCGGGCCCGCTGGAAAGGAGGGAGCGCCGCAGGCGGGAGGGGGAGCGCGGAGGAGGGAGGCCGGGAGGAAGGAGGGAGCGCGGCAGGCAGGCGGAGGGAGGGCTGATTAGCATGCAGCAGCGCTCGCGCGCCCGGCTCCATTGTTTTAACACCTCCCCTCTCCTCCGCGCCAATCTGTCACCGTTCAGCAGGCGAACGCTGCTGCCTCAAATGCTGCTCTTCTCAAATGAGACGGATAATTAGTTGCCCCGCACGAATGCCGCACTCTTCTCACCCCTGATTGCTATCACCTTCTTGCTCCTGGCAGTTTTGACACCTCGTAATCAGCCTGCTGCTTTTCTCTTTTCTTTCCGACTTCTGCTTCCCTCCCCCTTTTCCTTCCTAGTTTTATTTATTTATTTATGTATTTATTTATTTATTTATTTACTATTATTATTTTAAATGCAGTCCTGGTTCCTATTTGGACGAGACCTCAGCTGAGTTAACCTTCCGCGTATACATGTGTGCATATAGACGTATAAGTAAAAGAGTGTGCGTGCATGTGAGTGGGGCGGACTTGCAGTTTTGCGGGAAACACTGCTTCCACTCGGAGAGAATTCTCTTCCCCGAAGATACTTTTGGGAAGGGAGGAGTTGCGGAGAGGGACGGGAGGGGAGAGTTGGGGAGACCTCAATTAATGCTTTAAAGATCTCTTAGAAATTAACAAACTGGGGAGTCTCGGAATCTGCTGTCAGAAGCGTGTTTTCCCCTCTCTCCTTTAACAAGCACTGACAGTCTAATTACTGTAGCTACAAGCAGCTGTCGAGGCAGCAGCCCGGGAGAGAAGGCGCCACAGGCTGAGCGCACCCGGCCGGCCCCTGCGCCCGGCGGAACCGCCAAAACCCGGTCCGCCTCCGGGGAGGCTGGAGAGGAGGGCGAGGCCCCGCACCCGAGAGTCCCGCGAGCAGAAGGTGGGCCTGAGAGCCAGCGGACACGCTTTATCGTTTCGTATTTATAAAGCCTTTACCTTGAAGGTTAAAAGATGTGAAGAAAAAAGGAGGGGACGTGGGGGAGTGGGAAGAACATCTCCCGAGCTTCCATCCACCCCTCTTCTACCTCCTCGAGCTCTCCCTCCCCGCCGTGTTGGTAAAATAACCACGCAACCCGGGGCTGAGGGGGCGGGGTGAGCCAGGCTGGAGTGTAAGAAAGCAGATGTCCCCGCTGGCAGCAGCCTCAGCCACCCGGGAAAGCTGCACCGGGGGGGCCCTCCCGAGGACATTCACCTCCCACTTCTCAGGCATCCCGCTCACAACTGCCTCGACTCGGCGGGGGTGGTTTTTTCAGACTCAGCGTTTCGCGTGTGAAGCTTTTTTACCTGGGAGCTGTTCTTACCCGGCCACGCGTAGCAGATGCCAAATGCAACCCCTACACGACTCAGGATTAGAGGGGAGACCTGGAGGGGGTCCACCCCACCTTTCGAGCGGCAGTCAGCGCTACCACTGCTGTGCCGGCCGAAGCCTGTTCTCCAGGCTGCCTGTCCTGTGGCTCGGGTGGGCCTCTGTCCCTCGGAAGTGGGAGCGTGGGGTGCACTGGAACCCCAAAGAAAACAAGAGTTCCCCGCTCTTACTGAAAGTGCTGGAGTTGGGAAAAGGTTGGACTGGAGAAGAAGGGTCAGTGATACACTTTAATTGAGTCACTTTCAGGACCATAATTTTCTTTGGTTGTCAGCGGGCTAGTAGATGTTAACCGTGTGCGGGGGACTCTTCCTCACCTAGAAAAAGAGAAAGAAAAAGAATCCCCTTTCACGAGATAGGTAGGGTGGTGTATTCTGGCTGGTACACGCTGGGAAATTTTTATTTTTAATTTGGTGTGTGTGGGAGGAGTGAGTGAGAGGGGTGGCTGGGTGGGCGGGAGGTAGTGGGGAAGGAAAGATTTGGATAATTGTCTAGGCATTTCCATGCAGCCCCAGTGGCAATGAAAGAAAGATGCACATGCCTCAGAACCCTTCACAGTGAATGCTTAATAATCACTATGTCACCTTGGTGAGGAAGATGCCAGTGTGATGTGCTTGGCACCCTGAGAAGTCGAGGCACCACTCTCATTCTTCCACAAGTTAAGGCTCTTCACTGTGGCACAGGGGCCTGCCTGCTCCAACCCCCCTATTTGAAACCCTCCAGTTTTCTAAAAACACTTGCTCCAAAGAAGGCTTAAATTTCTGCCTTGAGAGTTGCAAATCAACGTTTATTTCATAAAATGGAAGCCATGCCTCAAACATTAAAAAAAATCCTGTGTGTGTGTGGGGTGGGGGGGTAGGGTGGGGTGGGGTTGGACAGAAACCTAAAAGACGAGAATCATAGGGAAGAAAAATGAAAGGGAAGCCTCTTTTAAACAAAACTCTCCAGCCTTCTGATTTTGGTATCCTATCTCTTAAATGTTTCCAGTGGTCATCAATCAGGCTGCTAGCAATGAGTAACAAATTTCTCAACAAGAATGTGAACATTTCTAATATAAATTAATAAATATGGATTGTCCTTACAGGATTTTAGATTTGCTCCCATTAAATACAACTGTGTTTCTTTAGAAAGTTTAGTTTGAAAAATAATTTTAAAATCCAGTGACCTACTGGTTGTAATAAAATGTCACCAGAACTGGTATCACCCTTCTATCAGGTTACTGGATAAAAAAACAAGGATTTTATAAACTTCCCCCAAATGTGATTTATTTCTTCAGTTCGGGAACAAAGAACACATTAATGATCACAACATAATGTTTCATCATGTAGCTAGACACACAGTAAAAATTAAAGCCATATCTATTAATAAAAAAACCCCAACAATCTAAAGTGTTTTAAATAATCCTATCAGTGATTTTTATCACTGAGCAACAAATGTCTTGTGTTTTGTATTTACTTAGATGCTATTCTCTATTATAGGTTTATTCAAAAAGAACATCACCTATAGCATAAATAATCAAAAACTTAAAATGAAAACAAATGAAAAAAACCCTATAAACATGACATCACCAAATTCAACAGATCTAACTAGAAATCCAAGCAATAAGCTTAGACAACTGAAGCAAACATAAATTATTGTTACACAATTCCATAAGCCACACACACAACTTTGAATTATGGTAATAAACACTGTAAACATGAATATAATGAATTAGTTTTCTACAGAATGATCTTTTAAAAGGTAATACAAGAAAGTTACAGTGTAAGTTTAGGAAAAACTCAAACATCTGTGACACTGATTTTTCAACAAATGATCTTGAACTACATTTGCAACCAAGTACCTAGTATTACAAACCCCAAGTCATCACATAGAACTTGATATGTCTGTTTTCAAATGTGTCTTAAGTCTCCCCATTAAAGTGTGAATTAAGATGCCGGAGGAAATCCCCCCTGGATGTAATGGATGGTGGGAAAACTGCTTGACAGAATTCACATACTCGAGGTATACGCAGTTCTGAGCCTGTGCCACTTAGTACCGATAAGTCACTGTCTTGATTAGGAAAGGGCTTCCAAACGGGCTGCAGAAAACAAACAAAAACATCTTCTGTTATTTGTATTTAAGATCCACCTGCACTTAATTTCAAATTCAACTTTTCTGAATGGGTTATGTGCACATATATGAAATTCCCTAATATGAAAGCAAATTACCTTTACATAGTATTAGCATGAGGACATGACTCAATTCTCTTTTTCATAAAGGACATAACTTTAAGAATCACTTAAAATACACATTCATGCACTTTCTTCACATATTAAAAACTCTTCCAGCTGTAACACCAGCATACTTTAATACCTGTTATCACAATAGCATAGGTTGTGGAGCAACAGCTAATAATTAAGATTTTCAAAAAATTAAATTCTATCTTTCTATTTTATATTGGAAGCCTTAAGTTGTAGGGCCTTTATTAATACACAGCACACCAGACATGATGTGTGTGTGTGTGTGTACATGCATTTTGATCAAGAGCAATTTAAATTTCACTACTGTTTGTAAGCAAATATACAATGAATAGATCATACAGGAGTAAGTGTTCTGATTTTTGAAAGTAATTTTTTTCTTTTAAAGTACTAAACAAATTGCATTATTAGTTGTTTTTTGAAACCTCAAATATTTAATCATTTAACAAAATCTAAAATCAGATGCATTCTTTTCACTTCTTATTTTGCTCATGTTATATAGCCCATAGTTTGGCCGCCTTACCCTTTCTTGTGGCTAAATAAAGGGAAACTTGTTAACAGTTGCCCAATTAAAGAATTACGGAAAAAGTGTAATTCAACTGAACTACACCTCCATTATAAGCAGCACATAGATACCTTAAATAACTTAACTTTTTTAAAAACATCTAGAAGGGCAAGAAAAAGCAGTTAGTTCAGCAGCAGGTGTGCAATAAATGTTGACTGGACTATCTAATTTTCCATAAATGTTGTAAACCACATTATTTTAAAAATTTGCTTTCTTACCTTGGCATAACTAAATTCTTACCCTTTGAGGAAAATCACATTAAAAATTCAACTTAAAGAGATTGCTTTGTGCTCCTACTACTAATATATTTTTAAAATAACCACCTAGTCCAACACCTGACACAGTGCTGGTTTTCATTCCCTTAACCAATCTCTTTCATTGTAGTTAACCAATCATTACATAAACAGTATATCGTTAATTGAAGCATTTGGGTTTCACGATATCACTGTCTTCTTATAAACATTTTACTGGACAGCTGTGTACAGTTGGTGTCAATATACAAAGTCTGTCTAAGCTCTGAGATATATTTAAATATTAGTACAGAGGGCTTATAATAACACTGACTCAATCCTTTTGTGAGAAGCGGCAATTTTATTACAATAAACAGTAATATTTAACATACATATTTTGAAGTTTGGGGTAAAATAATTTTTTTAGAAACATCTTTCTTCCATGATAAAGGACAAACAGTACTGACTGTCAGTATATAACAGAGCTAACTAAATTTTACTGTTGTCAGTTTAAGCAAAAAGTACAATTGATTAATATGTACTACTCTAATGGGAAATTGATATGGATATAAATAAAAGGTTATTGTGTTAAAGATAATTTTAATTGAGATCTATAAAATAGTTAAAAAAGAGACTCAGACGCAATTTAGCTTCTAAATATGGTAAGCCTTGCCCAATTTATCTGCAAAGACACTTATCCTTCTCTATTAGGGGCTATTAGTTCAGATTTGGTCTTTTCATAGAATTTAGTTGGGACCCTAATCACTGACTCAGCAAATATAGGAAGAAAAGAAAATCGCATAGAACAAAAATAAGCAAATACATTTTAGAATTTATTATGATAGCTGAATGTATAAGAAAGGTGTTAGGTAATAACGATTGACATAAAATAAAAATCTGAACTATGCAACCAAAATTTCACTTCCTTTTGTTATTATCAACAACTCAAGAATGTTATATTTATCATAATAGCTTTATTAATACAAATAAAACAAAATGTTTTTTAAAACCCCGTTTTAAGAAATATTCTTTCAATCCTAAACTGTAACATGGCCTTCAAAGTAAATGAATTTCTATGCCTTTTCTGCCAAAATATCAATTATCTAACCTTATGCCCCATGTCTTGTGACAGCTCAACACCAATTCTCCTGCATTTTTTAGCTGAATACTTTTCCATCAAGTAATCACATACCAGCTGTTTCCCTTGCTGTAGCATAGAAAGCAAATGCACAATGCAGGGTGCCATCTACTGAAACATGAATGCACAGACTAGTAAAAGAACAAGCAAGACAGAGAGGAGAAAAAAGTAACAAGCATTAGAACTGATGCACTTCACAGCTCCCCAGGAATTCTACTTGCAATAAATGAAATTGTTTAATTTGTTTCACTAAGTAGTAACTGTAACTGTGGCTATGATGTGAAATAAGGTACAATGTAGAACATAAGTGAGTTTATAATTAAAGCTTATTGCAGAGATGCCTAGTTTTCTGCACTACTAAAATATGCCACAGCTTGACTACTGCCTTCTTTGTATGCTGATTTAAAAGTCTAGCATACCAGAAATTGACACATTGTAAACTGACTATAACTCAATTAAAAAAAAATTAAAAAAAATCTAAAGAAGTCTATAACCTATAAAAGTACTTATAAAGCCAAAGGATATTAAATAAGTTGATGGTATTTGTTTGTTTTTTGTAAATTAAATATCTCAAGGCAAAGAGAAATCAAACAAATGTTTGCAAATTATATAAGCATTTACACCGATCTGTATTTTTACAGATTTCTATTTAATGTAACAATTATATACTTTTCACTTGCCTTAAAAATTTTTTATTGAAGTAAAAGAATCATTCTGTAATAGACCTGAATAAAAGGGGGCACAGGAATGGATTGGGGTAGGGTGGAGGGGCTGTAAGTAGTTTGCAAGCTTTAGTAACATTAAAGTGTTTGATTAAAATCACACATATGTAGAGACTATTTAAAAAATGTATTAGGCTGCTTATTCAGTGGCAGATTAGAAACCAAAACCAAAACCAAACCCAAGCCCTACGGATCTACTTCTGTATAACTAAGAATATAATAGAAGTGTTAGTTAAAAGACAGTTCACTTATTTTGATAAAGATAAATATACAATGTGATTACTTATAAAATCATGCATTCTTGTAAAGATATGATGTACACAACTTTTTGATAAAACATGCCATTTGCTTCACAGAATGAAATGTAATAAAGAATCCTATTATAATACTGATGCTGAGTAAAAGCTTTGAATAAGGGGCTCAGAAAGTGATAACCCACTAGATATGGATAAGGTTTACATGTATTTTTAAATGTGCCATAAATTTTAAGGCACTTTATAATAGAGCCTCACCATATTCATCTTTTATAATTTCATGTCATTTATTATAGGACTTGGAATTTTTATTGAAAGCTTAACTTTTGCAAGTCATTAGTTTAAAAAAGGATGTCTGATAACCTGAAAGAGACGTGTATCTGTGCACGCATAGCAAAACGTGTGTTCACACATAATGTTTGTTAATGCAAAACAGTTACCTGCTGTGGTCCTCGGATAGCTTTTCCTGGGGAATCAAGTGAAGTAAAAGGTGCATCAGATGGGTCCTGAAGTGGGAATGTATTTATACATAATTTGTTATGGTCTGCAGGTGGCAAACACGGAGCTCTATCCAGAGCTGTCCTGATACAAGTGTTCACAAGACTTGAAGGTTTTGTTTTGTCAGTTGTTTTAAGGTTTTGTATAGCTGAAGCTATGAGTTCAATGCCCTGAATGTCAAATAAAGTTTCTTCTGTTTTAACAAAGTTTCCCGGGTTGTCTCTGGGCTCCATATTAAATGTATCCTGGCACACAGCCTCAAATGCGGTGGGACCAAGGACACTGGGTCTTTCCGGAGTGCTGTGTAAGAAAGTAGAGTCACTGTCTGTAGGTGGAAACTTGACATTGAATTTAGAAAGTGATTCAACAGAGTTTTCTTCCTCATCTCGGGCCAATCCTCTTGGTGTGACAGATGTGATGCACGGTGCACCTCTATTTATATCATCTTTAGCCTGAGGCTTAAACAGCACTTCTTGCTTATCTGTTTTATCCGTACACTGTATAGGCACAGAACACTGTGTCTCTGCAGGGAAAAAAACAGAAAGGGAAAACAGTTGCATTTCAATCATTCTTAAAAATCTGAATGTTCAATTCGCCTTGGATAGATGAGTATTATTTTTTCTATTGATTTTTATAGCAACTGAAGACAACTGGGAATTTTTACATTTGCTACCACCTAACACAGAAATATTAGCAGTCTCCAGCGGGTGAATTGGAATGTAGATTATTAGTCACAGTTTAACGTTGTCTTTTCCTGGGTCTTGCGCGGTATGCTTTGCATCTTGTTCACAGTTATACTGCTCTACACTTAAGAAAAATTTGCTTGTAGTGTATACACTTAAACATTTTGTCAGTAATGGAAGCTGCAACTGTGAGCCTGCTTAGACAAATAAGTTATTAAAAGGGAAAATCCTTACCAGGCATATATTATACAGGTTAAGAATCTGTATGAATTAGGTCATTTACACTCCCTAACATCCCTGTGTGACGAAGTATGTCACCAATCAACTTAGCCATTGTCTACCCTCAACAATCTATGTGAGTGAGTGGTGCTGGTGGAGGGGCTGGAGAGAGAGTAGACTGTGGAGACAAAAGAAGGGTAACATTTTAGGATGCATGTTCAGAAAATTTATGTGAATATATGATTCTCTCATCTTATTAAAAAAAAAAAAGCCTCTGCAGATAACAGGTATCAGGTAGACACCAGGGTCTCTGTACTCATTTATGTAGAAGCCACTTACCTAACTAACTCACCTCTAGGACATAGGCAAAAGCTAGAAAGTAAGTAAAACTGCTTTTGAGGAGTCCAGCTTACAGCCACAAGGCCCAGAGAGAGATGAATTTTGCTCTTATTCTAATTTAAGACTTATCCTAACAAGCTTGACGATGTTTCTCTAGTTCATACCTGGTTAGAAGCAGCAGGTTACAAAGTATGGATATGAATTGTTGAAAGCAGATACACATATCAATAAGAGCTAAACGCAGTAGAGGACACAACAAACAAAAAAGCAGATATAAGAACTCAGAAAACACTACAGTTTAGCGAAGAGCCAATAAGGGCTACATTTTTCAACGCAAAAAAAAGCAATGATCAAGGCACTCTCCATGTTGATGGTACTAAGATATTATAAAAAGCTAAGTTATGTTCCACAATGTTACTTCAAGAAAGCAGTGAGGTTAGAGGTTGGTAATGTGTGTATTTTCATCAAATGAACAAATGGTAAAAACAATTTTTTAAATTAGCACTTTAAAAGGTAGTCATCAGTGAAGCTGTACATTAACCAATGATGCCGATTTAAGTAGACACCGTATACAGAGCCCTGCACACAGTGTCCGTCCAGGTTAGTAGGCACTCAGCAAATGTCAGTTCCTTTCCCTTCCTCTGGTCTTCGCAATCTCATGACACCCTTCTGTCTTGGGCACAGCACATTCCAACATGAGATGTTTCTGTTTGGACACGATTGCAGTACAATGCAAACAACTTCTTTGGTTCACCCTTTCAGATACCTACTGCCTCTCTTTGGTACATACCTTCTTCTCTTACTGAATTATTACAGCAGCCTTTGGCCTGTTTCCTTGCTTCTAAATTTCTCTCATATCCACTCTGTTGTGCACACTGCTTTCCCCCTACCCTCCCTTAGTTTTTCTAAAGTACAGATCTGATCATGTTATCCTTTTAATAAAACTTTTTCATGGCTCTCCAAGGCCTTCAGCCTTAAAACTCATATAAAACTACTCATGATTGGCCCTTAATTACCTCTCCATACTCTAATCTTTCACCATATCTGCTTCACTCCTGGCTGTAATGAACTTTGGTACAGTTCTCTGAACAGCCATGCTCTCGTCTCTGGGACTGCCAGAACTGTCTCCTTCCATTATTACTCTTAGCCTGACTCTTATTTGTCCTTCACTTCTTGGCTTAGATACTATTTTCTCTGGATGGCTCGCTGGCTTCCCAAGATCGGTCTAGGCATGACTCCTGGTGCCCTGAGGACTAAATACTCTGTATCGTATTTTCAAGTATATCTCTTTCTCTCATTAAAGTAGGTCTCTTGAGGTCCTAAACTATGTATTGTTTCCCACTTATCCCAGTACCCCTCAATAAATACATTCTTTCCCACATATCCTAGTATAATAATCTACTTTTACTAGATAATCTGCCTGACTAGGAGAGGTATAGTAACTAAGACCAAGCTCAACTGTTAAGCAGGATTTCTTTGTCCTCTGAGGTTCTTCAAGTCCATTAACTCTCGAGTAGTCATTTTTCCTTGTAGTAAACTTAAAAGAAGCAGGAAATTTTAAGAAACAGTACTTCCTTTGTAGATTACATTTACTAATTGCAAATAACAAATCAGGAAAACCAGCTGTTGAGGCAACCAAGTTATGTAAACCTGAGAAGGAGGAAACACTTATCAAAATGTTCTTCAATAGGAGAACAAGTGGATGCTGAAGAATGTGCTGCAGCTGCTAATGACCAGTATTAACGTTAATAGCACTTCTATGTGCCACACACGGTTATAACCATTCTATGTGCATTAATTCATTTCACATTCAAAACCAGTGTGTGATAGGCACTATATTATCCCCACTTCACATGTAAAGAAACAGAGACATGGAGAGATTAATCCCAAGGCTACACAGCTAATGAATGAGTAGTAGATCTGGAACTGGATCCCAGCAGCCTATGCTCTGAACCATTATGCTAAATTGAACATGTTGGTTTCCTCATTATAGAGAAGAGTCTCCAAAATGGCAGAAGTGCGCTCTGAATTTCTTTTCCAGTTGTAGCCCTAATCCCCTTGTGAACAAGACATGGAAAACCCAAACAGGTGCAATAAAACATGTATTTTCCTTCAGTATAGCTAGCTAGCGTAACTCAGCACATTAAAATAATCTGATTCATCTGCTCAAGCAGTGGAGTTACTATCTATTAACATATAAAAGTAAAAAAATTTAAACCTAAGATTTCTAAGGCTACTAGAAATCCAAGCTTAGAAAGCATAAAACCCAAACGAGGTACATGAAAGCACTTGTTACTCTGACACCACACTAAGAAATATGATCAGATGAGCAAACTGCCTTTTTTTTAAACTTCAAGGACACATTTCTGCAAGGAAAAAAAGTAAAATAAGAAATATTTTTAAATTTCTGAATTTTAAGTACAGGCTGTCCATTTAGACTGCTTCTTACTTTGACTACCTTGTATATTGACCAAAAAAAAAGGTCTGATGGTTGTTTGTCATCTCTAATCCTGTATCCTTCTCTCCTGATCTCCACTGAAATATGACCCTGCTTTATGGACTAAATAGTGCTTTTTGTGAAACCACATTTGCTTAAACATGCATTTTACCTTTATCCTTTCTCAAGGCTATTGTCAATATATAAATGAGGAGAAGAAAAAAGTAATAAAAAGGAAATGTACCAGTCTACTAACTCAGCAATTCATGAATTATATCTGTTTATTTAAAGTAAAAATCAAATTTTAATAAAAAATAACAGGACAATAAGTTATATTATGCAAATCATATTAAAAATAGTTCCTTTATATTTGTATTAAATGTACTGTTTGTCCTTAAAAAAAACCCGAATAAGCATCTTTTTCTGACATTTCTTTTTGTTTCTTTCCCTCTTTGATCTACTACTGTCAGAAACACAGTATTTGATATTTTGGTTTGTTTAGACCCAGCAAAACTTCACTGGAGTCGGTAGCACAGAGGATCTAAAGCATTTCAAGAATAATGTTGTATTTATTATTTGTGACGCAGTTAATATAAAGCACAAGAATAATGTTAGAAAGCATTTTAGTGGGGAAGAAATTGAAGGTAAACACTCTGTACTCTAGTTGACAGATACATACTCAGATTTAGATCTGTGCAATTTAAAAATGGTCAAAGTATTAAGCCATTGATAATGGGGTAGGTTCTCTGTGTAACTACGAATATGTCACCATTACAATGTTTTGAAAAGATGCTGATGTTCAAAAAAAGCATGTTTATGAATTCTGGGTACATCTCTGTAGGTAGTAGAGTTTAAATAAATAAAAATACTTCTTTTACTTCAGAAGTACCTAGTGTCTTCAGTCTGCACAAAAATCAATTTCTCATGAAAATTACAAAAATTAAGGTGGAAAATTGGAGTTCTTTTTGGGGAAGTAGAGGGAAGGGAGGGGAAGAGATAAATTAAGTCTGTCTACAAAGATTGTTTTGCTTCTCCAACAGCACACGTGTACGTTTTCTGAAAATAAGATGGTAGTAGTAAGCAAAAAGTGAATTTGCACTATGAAATGATTTTTAAATAACCTAGCTATAAGAGCTGTAAGAAATGCAAAGTGATCTTTAATTAAAGGAGTGTTAGCACTGCTGCAACATCTTCCAGAGTGAAAACTGTAAATCACATCTCTTGGGAATTATATGCAGCATGTCTCAAATCACAAGGGTAAAGGAGAATTTATCATTATAAATGATCGGTTTACCTTCCTTTTGTTTACAGAGTGCTTGGTAGCCAGATTCAATCCCTAGTATTTTGCTATTCATACCAACCTACTGGAGCAAACACCAGGAAGCCAGTCTGAGGCTTTAGGGAAGGGTGGAGCTTTTAAAAAACACGCTGCAATATATCTGTAAAACAGATATTCCTTTTAAGTTATATTTTATACTACATTTGTACTTTGTGCCTCCAACAGAATTGGCCTCATGAAATGTGAAATGTTTATTTCTTGAACCAAATTATAAGAATCTATCCATGGTGTTTAATTAACTTTCAGGCAGAAGTTAAAAACAAACTTAATGTTTTAATTTTACTTTGCTCATACATGGTAGTGCAGCTCCAAGGCTGCTTCCTCACGTATCAATTAATATTTAATAAGACTCCCAAATAGCAACTGAAGACTTTGAGTGATATATCCTGTATTATTTTTCCAAGGTGGGACTCCTCATTAAGATGATTAGTAATTGTGTCATTCAATTCAATCTATACAGTGCCACACAAAATATAGAGGGAGGGAGAAAGGCCAGTAATTATATAAGGTCATACATTACAGAACTTAAAACAGAACTTACCCATTATAGGTGGTGAGAGGCACAAGATGCAGATACTCAGCACTTAATAAGCATTTAGAAATATTTCCACAATCAAAAAGAAATCAAATTCAACCAATAAAGTTAGTATTACTGTACATTAAATCAAACCTTACCAGTTGCAGTGGTTGGTACATTAAGTTTGCTTAAGTGGTCTTTTTGTGCTTTTGCCAGCATGCATATTCTATGAAATTCTTCTTTCAGATCCCGGAAAGTCTTCTCTATAGAACCCCTAAAAGTAAATCAGTATTTTGAAATGTAAGGCTATATCTTCAAAATTTTTTGTTATGATTTAATTGGCACAGCACCTTTTAATGTACCACAAAATAATCACCGAAATTTGAAGTTTAAAACATAAAGAATCATTTTATTATTAGGAATCTAGTGAGTGCATATGGAACATGTACTCTAGCTTCTTTATTTGTCTAAATCCATACAGCGTCTTGGGATCTTACTGATACTCCAGTAAGCCACACGGAATAAAAGGAGATTCAGGAGAAGGGAGTTTCAGCAGACATTTGAGAGGAGAGAAGACCAGATATCCCCTTGACCTTTTATTCAGCACCAATCACGAGGAAGGAGGAAGCATAAGAAAACAGCTTCACTAAGGGGTGCCGTCTTGTAATGCAAAGTGTCTTGGAATCTGACTGGATAAGCATCCCCACCTTTTGAGGAGGGTCAAGGAGAAAGGTGGGAAGGGAGCAGGGATTTTCTCTTCCTCTCTATTTTAAAGCATATAACAAAATGTTTGTTAAGAAGTGCTGGTGAAGTGGCTAGACTTGGGGAAACTTCCATTTTGTACTTTGCATATTTTCCATTTTAGTTTGTCAATAAACATGTATTCTTTTTAGAATCAGGAAATGCAATAGATACTAAAGATAACTGCTATTTTTATTTAATTAATTTTACTGTTTTAAAGAAATAGTCTCTGAAAAGCTGTAATCTTGTACTTCTATAAAAAACAAAAGTATTAAAGAAAGGTTAAAGTTAAAAAAAAAATCACTTTAAATTCCTAAAATGTCTCCTAAAATAGCTCTAATATTTGGCGAGCCAGACACAAAGTAACAAAGTTCTAATACATGAATGCAGTGCACACTAGCATATCTACTTATTTATATATCACACTATGCTGTATTGACTTTTCGTTCTCTGTAAACAGAAGGAAAATATTCCTCACTTTGATAAGGTTAACATTAAAATCCATCCATATCAAACAATGTGGCCATAATATTTGTTCTACTGAAGTATGAGAGCTCCAGAAAATTCAGGTTTTAGACCCATCTCTACTATAAACTGTGTAGCTTATTTAGGTCACTTTAACATGGAGGAGCCTTGAGATGGTCTCTTCTAGTTGTAAAAGGCTGCTATTTTCTCATGATTGCTAAAATTTTAAAATATGTAAATAAAAATATATTTCAATTTTATAATTTGTAGAGTTGGCAAAAAAGAATATAGAACTACCTTTCATGGAATGAAGGAATGCCAAGACTCCTTGGTGATGTTTCTTTTCTTGGAGAAGAAATCTCTTGTCTTCTTACCTTAAAGATATAAAATAATTACCACTTTAAATTGCGTCTATACTCAAATGAGAATGGGTTGACAAAAAACACATCTTCTTCATCAAAAAGAAAGTTTAGTTAGCTTACTGACATATACGTATATAATGTACAACAGAATTTTTAAAATGAGAGCAGGGAAAAAGGAAAATGAAGGCAGAAAAATAAGATGAAGACATGATGTATTTCTGGTAACTTCTTCAATTACTATTTCCAGTATTGATAATTCAAGAAATTTCCTCAAATTCATATATTGATCAAATTGCTACTCTGACCAACAAGCAACTGACATGATTAGAAACTTAAGGAAAAAAAAAATCCCTGTGTTTGTGTGTGTTTACTTCTTTTCCATTACTGGCCTATACATTTAAATCAATGTCTTTGTATTTTGTTATAGAGTCTTTGCTGAGGAATGCAGCTGTATTACAGGAAAAAAGAAAACTAAGCTACAGTCCTTAGCATTTAACAAGCATTTTAAAGATAGTGCAATTATGTAGTTAAGCTGCTTAAACACAAGTTCTTGCCTTCCACTCCCACCCTGTGGCTTCCACTGGTATTACACTTATTATGACATTTAAAAATCAACATTAAAGAACAAATAATAATTGACTGTATAGTTTAGAGTTTTAAAAAAATCTTCGGTAATACCTAGAAAATTTTGTGTACCTTTTAAAGCTACAAACTGATAAATTCCAATCGTTGAAGGAGTACTAATATTATTCAATCATAAATTATAATTCAGCCAAAACTGTGTAAGTCTTATTTAAGTTCAAATTCAAGCCAGTGTTTTATATTTAGTGACTTTTTATATTTTATTCAATTAAGGTCAGTGTAGCTATTACTAAAATGGATAATTTTACTTCATTGTTTCTTATCATCTGAGTACATCTCCCTTATAATCTTGCTTTTCAAAAGGTTCTTTCAATTTCTTAGGAGTCTTATTTGTTCTTTAGGGAAAAATCTTGATTCCAGTTTGTTTCTCTTAAAATTAGTATCTTTGTCAGTTTTTTCAGTTTATTGTTCTACTTTCCCAGCTTTTTCTAAATACTAGTGTTTGCATAACATTTCTAAAATACAGTATTATTTTAGTTTAGTAAATTAGTAAGATATAATCTTGGCAACCCAAACAATTTGTGATTTTATGTATTATGTCGTCAGATTGAGGTAAAATAAAGATCATTTGCTGCTGCATACTTTATGTCTGACAAATACTTAGGCCTTTTCTTCTAGATTAAAACTGCTTTGTTGAGCTTTATAAAGCAGTCGTATCAGAAGATATTTTCACATTCACAGTTTGTTTTTAAAAGTGGTAGACAAGGTTCTTCTTTAGTGTTACGTGTAATTAGAACACTCAGTGGATTTTAGTGTGGACTAGGAAGAAAGGCAACATTTTAAAGCTAACCAATCATTCGGAATGCTACAAGTATGAAAACAAACTCTTAAAAAGTTGTTTTATATTAAATCTGTAGCAACAAAATCAGAGAAGAGGTAATATTAAGAGAACAGAAACATTTGACAATTTGATATATTAAATAAATAAAACGTGACTAAATTAAATGGAATGATTAATCTTCTTTTAAAATTTACTATTAGAAACTCTCAATACGAAAAATCCCATTTTATTAGGAGCCAGAAAAAACCAAAAAGTGCTCTGTAATTTTAGCCTGAAAATGAAGATAGTTAACATAGAAACAGTAATGAAGACTATTCTAGTTTTCACAGTACTGACTTTGACATAAAGTAGGAATGACTGCTTCTGAAGTTAAACCTTGAAAGCTAAAGTGGGGGAGGCGTGGGGAGAATGAGGTGTAGGAAAAGAATGGTAAATTTTTGTTTGGCTTGCCAAATAACTGGTGTTGACTTCTGTGGTGTTTAGATTTGATAGCTGGTGCGGGTGAATGTATCTGGGAAAGATTCCTTGGGTGTTTTGACAGGGGGTAAAGGGAGGACTGCTTTATTGTGGAATTTCTATGAAGTATCTAAACTAAGGTCTTCAAGCTTCTTTAGGGTTAGGAACAGCTCTGTTTACTATTATTTCTGTTATCATTATTGAAGAAAAGTATTGC